ATATCTTTGATCAATCAATCGATCTATCAAATCCGAGAGTATAAAGAGCTAGATAACAGAGTAGATAAATATGTAGATTTATATTTAGATGGATGTAATTTTATAAAATTGGGACACACTTTGAGTACTGTATTTGAGGAAAATAATGAATTCAACTTTGTATCTACTGGCCTTTGGTGACATGTATGCCATCTGCAGGCCACTAGTTTCAAACTTTTGCCTCAAAAGGTTCTCTTAAAGTTAAAAATTTGGGTTGCATATTGTTTAACACTACATTTCTATATTCAGATTTATTTATTGATTGCATGTTATGAAGTATGATTCTCGACTTAGACTATTAATTAATTTTTATGGTTGATATCATTTTCACTCTAATTTATCACCGTGATAACTAAAATGTTCCATTTCTCTGAACATTATTTCTGTGGAGTCAGATCTCACGATCTAAAGCTTACTACAGCTTCTCCGTTCCTGGGACCACGTTGGATTCACCTCTTTTAAGAAAGTCTCTTTGTGATATATTCCCTCTGTATTTGTATGTATCAGAAATCTGTTTCTTGTCTTCATACCTAAGTTACAACTTTGTTGGACCAACTTTTTTCTTTCAGTTTGCTGTACACATTGTTTCTTTCTACCGGATATTATGGAGAAATATTGGACTGTCCAAGGTTTTAACCTCCTTATAGATAACTCGTTTTGTCTTTTTAGATACTATAAGATTTCTTTTTTTAATCTGTGAGAAATCTCACCGGGAAATTTCTTAATACTCAAAATTCTATTGTAAATTTTCTCAAACATGGCATACAGATTAGTCTCGATCTCAGAAAAATTGTTCTAACATTTTAAAAATACTTTTCTATGCCAACTACATATATATATACTCATTTTCTCAATAATTTATATAATGATCTGTCTTAGACATTTATTTCATCTTTCTTTCATATGTTATCCTGTGTACATTTCTCAAGACTGTTTTCTGTGACCTGACTAGTAATTTCATCATATTTGTTCTCTTGTTACTATTTATGAATTAATCTCTGTAATTTTTTCCTGAGTGCCACCGGTTCACTCTTTTTCTCTCTCTTTTTTTATTTTATTGTGTCCGTTGGTTTCTTGGATTAACATGATTTTTTATATCATAGAGAACTGTTTTTTAACTCTTTGTTTGTAAGGAGATTAATGTACACAAGAAATACTTTAAAATAGCATTACCTTTAAATGCACTATATAGTCCTTGTGAAATGATTTGTATAAGAATGTAATATTTTGGGTATATATTAACAACTGGAAGGAACCTTTGAAATTATAATATTTTTTCATTTATTATGAAACTATCTTTGAGAAGTAATCAGTTGATTCAATGCTAAATAACTTTACCTAAGAACTTCAGTTCACGATGAAATGAATTTAGAGTTCAGATGCTATTCCTGCATATGGCAATGTGAGGCATTCATAAAAATTATCCATCATAAAATCAACAGCCATGATAGAAGTGAAGACAACATTTGGGTTAGGAATTGCATAAACTGCATATTGCAAACTGGTTAGACTACAGTTAAAGTTACTTTTTCCCTGTATTTCTGGTGTACGTCTTCTGTTTGTTCACAGCTCCATATTTCTAGGCATGTTTGAGAAGATGGATTTTTGGATTTATAGCTACCTACTGTGCCATCTCCTTTCAGTAACAGTTGGTTTCCTAAAAAACTGGCAACTAGACATATCACAGTAGTGTTTTATTTTATTTTGTACAGTGTTAGAAATAGTTTGCTTTTGAGAAGAAAAGGAAAATCTTTGTGCCTGAAGTGACTTTTGACAACTCTAAGTACCATTACTCCTAGAAAATACAAGATGCGATTTCAATAATTTAATAGTGCCAAAATGTCACATTTTTGAGACAGCTATTTTATGACTTTCCGAATAACTGAACCAAACACCTCTCCCTGGAATTCAACAACCTGTGCCTCTGAATTCCTTGGTAAACAATAAAGTGTCTTCCTCTTTGAATAAAAGTTGCCACGACAATTGGCAAGCACGAGTTGGAGAAATCAAACAGCAGGCTCTAGTCTTTAGATTTTCAAAATTTTCAAAGATGTGATATTGTTTGGGACGACTCTGATTTTAGTCAAAATGAAGGTGTGTTTTCACATAGCCATATCGATTGTAATTAGGCAAACATATATTTTTGTAGATAATCCATCATTTAAACATAATGATAGTCTTACTCTATATTAACTTCAAGACTATGTCTTGATTAGTTAGAGACTTAGGGATGAAGGTAAACACCAAAGTCATTTTAGATATGTCGATTGTAATAATTATGTTGAACTCTGTAGTGAAAGTTTGCAATTTTAAAGAGAATATCTATCTGGTAATTATATGGAAATGTGGCAGCATCATAGAACCTGTCACATAATTCACCTGTAAATTACACCTCTGACCTTAGTGTTGCTGAACTCTTTATAATATTTCTAGGAATAGGGAAAAATTACAATTTTTTACTTGAACTTATTGACAGTTTCCTTCAAAACCACCCTTTTATATGATTCATTGAAAAATTAAATGAATCATTACCATTTGTTATTCAGACTTGATGATTTCCGGCAGGTTAGATCCAAGTTTCCATTCCTTCTGTGTGATTAACTCCAATACCAGGATTGAACAGGAGATGTTGTCATATTTACAAATCTATGGATACAGTGACCTTATTCAGTGTTACTTAAATTAAGTCTTTTTCGTTTGTCAGTTACAGTTCTTTTATTGACAATTACCCAACTAAAGGTGTTGTGACATTAAAAGAGACTGAATGATTTATTCCGGGAGTAAGTCACACTGAGATGTACCTGATCAAGGATCTGTCTTTGCTCTGTGGTGACTGTGGTTACGTCCTTGCTTGTTTCTCTTAGGCAGAGTTTCCTCATGGCATCTATGTAGTGACAGTAGTTCCAAGTCTCACACCTACACATCTCAGTAATAAAAATACGGGAAATCATCTCCTCGCAACCTAAACTCCTGGATGTCTCACTCGCCTTTCTCAAGTGTGTGCTCATGATGCCCACTTGCCCTTGTGGCCATTGGAATGACGTGTAGAATGGCTTGTGCCAATGTCAAGGAAGGTACCCGCCTCGGAAGCCTCCAGTTGTGAAGCACCGGACAACAGGGAGGAGTTGAATACGTGTTGGAGACACAGCCACATTGCTTCTTACCCTTCCAGAGCCCACGCATCAGTGTTTTAATCTTCTGGAAAGGAGTCTAGAAACCTCTAGGAAATCAAATGTCTCTTGGGCTGCGTGGAATATTATTCCTGCTTCTTTCTTTTCATCTCCTTTTTTCCTCCTTTCTCTGCAGAACTTTCTTATCTTTCATCATGGGTGTACATACAATTTGTATGTGATACCCAGAGTTTAATTGGAGTTTTACCTAGGGTACTTTTTTTTTTTTTAATCTTGTCATTAACATTTAATCACTGTTCTCAAGATTTACATTTAGGGTCATATTTTTTCTTTTAGTCATGTGGCAAAATCTATTTAGAATATTTCTTTCTTTTATGTAGTCAGTTTTATATATATATTTAACTTGATGACTTGTGAAAAGGTATGTGGGATTCTTGTTTTGATGGGATTTCAAGAATAATTGGTTTTTATTTAATTACCACTTAAATAATAGATTCATTAGAAAAAAAAAAATTTACATTCCAAACTCTATTATTCATATCATAGACCCTCTATTCACTAAACATTGTTCTTACAGAACCCGAAAGTTTTAAATTTATTCTACCTACCAGATTCTTCAAATTGATAAGCACAATTACATTTCATGGTAAAAAAAAATTAATTGCAATTTGAATTAGTCAAGAATCATATGATTTTTCTGGGTGTTACCCAGCAAAAAAAATGTCTCTTAAAACATTTAAATCTCTTCAGTGAGTGAGGAACTTGAAAACTAAAGGTTCTGTGACAGGCACCATGGTGATATCAATGAGAACGAAATAAAAGTAGAATTTAATAACCCAAATTTTAGAGTATTATCTCTAGTTCTAGGACCATTAACTGAAAACAGGCCCTAATATAGCCCTAATTTTAAAGAAGAGAAATTTGAATTTGTTGCCACTCAATAGTAATTATAGTTCAGGTTTTCAGTAAATGGTTCCAAAAGTGACATTTTTTGTTTGGGCAGCAATTAGAGATCGCTAACATTTCTGCAGCACAAAGACTATTGTACACAGAGTGTACCTTTTCCTCTAAGTTTTGTTTATTTAACAGTTTTTTCTAAAGAGGCTTATTAATTTAATATTTTAAAAAATCTAATTCACTTAGAGATTACTTAACTCCTTTGACTACTTTGAAGAATACTGACATTTCTAATTTCACAGCATCGTTTTTTGTTTGTATTTTAAGAATTCTTTTCTTTTGAGGGCTGGCTGTTTTTTTGTTTTGTTTTGTTTTGTTTTTTCCTTTTAATGGAACTCTGTCTATAACTCTGTAAATTACATAAGTTGGTATATAGAGACTTAAATGGTTCTTTTCTTTCCAGCTCTATTGAGATATAATTGACATGTAGCATAGTGTAAGTTTAAGGTGTACAACATGTTGATTTGATACAATTATATATTGCAAAATGATTACCACCATAGCATTAGCTAACACCCCCATTGCATCACGTAATTACCCATTTATTCTTCGTGAGGAGAACATTTAAGATCTACTCTTTCAGCAACTTTCCAGTTTATAATACAGTATTAACTATAGTGACCATGCTGGACAGGAGATCCCCAGATCTTATTTATTTGATAACTAGAAGGTTGTACCCTTTGACCAACGTCTTCCCATATCCCCAAAACCCCAGCCCCTGGTAACCACCGTTCTATTCTCTGTTTCCATGAGTTTAGCTTTTTTAGATCCTACATATGAAAACATACAGTACTTGTCTTTCTCTGACTTAACTTCACTCAAGGTTCGTCTATGCCCTCTGTTCTTGATGTGCATTATTCTCTATTATTACAGGAGGACACAGATCACAATTACTATACATCTCGAATATACGGTCCATCTGATTCTGCCAGCCGTGATCTGTGGGTGAACATAGACCAAATGGAAAAGGACAAAGTGAAGATTCATGGGATACTGTCCAACACTCATCGGCAAGCTGCAGTAAGTGCTTTGACATTTTGAAGGTTTTGTTTTTTATTTTCGCTGCAAGAAAATTTTTGCTCTGATTGGCACATCAACATTTTCAAGTATATTTGGTTCTGCAATTTAGATTAATAATTGCATATAAGATATGGAAACTGATTTATTTTGAGAAGCCACCATTAATTTAATTATTAATTAATTAAATAAATTAACCATTAATTTCCCTAATAAGAGGATGAGTTGCATATTCAAAATTGAGATTGACCTGGATGATTTTCAGTTTTCTTATAACCTGTGAGTTCAGAGAACATTTTTCAGTTATATTTATTTGATATCTTCTGTTTTGCCTGGGTTTATTACTCTTGGTCTGAGAAAGATGTAACCACAAATATTTATGATTCAGATAATATACGTAGACAAAATTATGGATTTAAGCGACATTTGACATAAATGAAAAAAAATTAAATCCAAACATATTTTAAGCCTGATTTCATCATTTTCCAGCTGTGGTTCCTTAAACAAATAATATAACTATTCAGAGACACAGTTTTTGCGTCTATGTGTTGGGGACGACAAGGGACATTAATGCAGGTCTCACTTACCTTTCTTGGTCACTAGTATCCTGTCCTACTTGTTAGGCTGGATGCAAATGTGTAGTAGCTTTTCAGTACTTAAAACAATCCTAAGACTTAAATCCTACCATCCAGGTGTTGCAGACGAGAAAACTGAATCTTGGAAGCTTCAGGTAACCTACTGAAGGGATCCCCAGCTAGAAAGTGATAAATCGATTGATTTTTAACTCAAAATGTATGTGTGTAAAATTCATCACACGTGGTTCTCAATAGTTTGTGCTAATCATTTTCTGATAAAGCAATTTAGTTTTGCTATCATAGATAACAGCCATGATCTTACCATCGATGAAGCGGTGTCTGGTTCAGTCTAGTATGACTGAAAGCGCGAACAAAACAAATGTCACCTTTCAAGTGCTGTGCCATTATTGATATGTAGAGTCAGTGGCTGCAGTGATTTAAAGAGGCACTGATTTGACAAATGTAAAATATCAAACTTTGGGGCCACAGCCTTCATTGTATATAGGTAGACTTTCCTATTTCAGGAGGTCAACTTCTAACAGTTGAAATGGAAATTAATTATAATCCACCGTGATAACTTTTTGAATTTTCAGTATAGGGCATATGTTTTTTAGGCTGAAAAGCAAGCAAAGTAGTTACTTCTCTTGGCAGAGTTTTCCATATTTGAGCCACCCTAGCTGAGATGACAGATTTAGAAAGGATTCACTGCTGGATTTAAAACAGATCTTTAAAAGAAGAGAAAATGAGAAAGATTAGATTAGGACAATGTCTATCAGAAAGTTATTGCATTTGAAAATCTCCTCACTATATTACAGTGCCTAATGGTGTAAAATATACTTTGTAACAGTTTGAATGTTGCTATAGCCAACTGGAGATTCCTTGAAGTGGCCCAGGTCTGGTGTTGGCTACTGTGGGTGACGTCACTAGGCACGGAAAGGTTATCCATTAAAATGTTAGCTGATTTCTTCTTACACACTTACATCATCACCATCTCTTTCTCCTATGCTCTCCCAGAGGTGAGACAGTTCGTATGTTCTCTTTTTCCTTGAAGACTTTTTTTTTTGCCTTTGGAATTCAGAGTTTTGCTTGGTTGCCTTGTGACCTCGGTTCTCTAGTAGTTTCGAGAAAAATTAGGATGCTGCAAGTGACCGATTTTTTCTTACCGTTAATGTGAGACCGACACTGTTGCTTTCAACACCAGAGATTGACCTTGACACAAATGGAAAGACTTGACTTTGTGCTGATAACTTATCTGGTGCTCTATGTGCTGATTTTTAAATATATATCATTGGCTTCCTCAGAATGGGTCAGATGAAGATAAAGGAGTGTCTGACTTGGAAGCATGTATTTTTTAAAAATATTTTTTCCTCCCCCACCATGATTTATAAATGTGGTCCAAACAACATTTTAGAATCTTAGATTAATATTCTAGAAAGAAGAGGAGGGTGGAAACAGAGTAAGACTTTTCCCTTTTCTCCATGAATAATAATATCTTATAATTTTAGGGCAGAATAAAACTGAGAAATCATTTAATTCACAGATTTCACATGCCAAAACACACTGCTTTCTCTTTCCTTTTATAATGTAAGTCACAGTTATTAGTATTTATGTTATATATGTATACAGTAATTTGATTACATGTTCTTTCAAATGTCCCCATTGTCCTTTTCTGTTTAAATCTGTCCATTGTCCTTTTTCGTTTAAATAACATTTCTTAAGTCATTATTGCAAAAGAAGCACATGTTCAAACCTAGTTTACCTTTGACAGATTACAGGAAGGAGCATATCTTCTTAGATAAAGTGGGAAAATATGCATAAGTCTCTACCATATTGCAAGCAATGAGCCAGACACTTTAGAGTCAACTACTGGTACTCATTTGGGTTTTTTGTCGTTTATTCAAAGTTGCACGGTTGTCAAGTTGCAGACCTAGAAGTTTCGGACAACAAACCTAGGAACCAGTCTATACCTGTTTTTTTTCCTCTGTGTGGACCTTTAAATGTCACAATTTTGAGATTTTCTTCTCTACTTATATATCATTATTTAATTCATTGCTGGGTACAAAGTTTGATTCCATAGCAGTCAAATTAGAATTATTCTGCCTTCGGAAAGTACCGTTTGTGAAATTCTGATGCACAACTTGGTAACACTGTCCTGGAGGAAGGAGTCCAGGGTTGTAGACATTATTAAACTATGGCTCCAAAACTCATTTTTTTGGATTCTGGCCTCTCCACATCTCAATTTGATAACCTGGAAGAAGGAGAAAAAATGCCTGCCCTGCCTGCCTTGCCTCCCTTCCAGTGCTATTTCAAGAGTAAAAAGGAAAAAATATGAAAGGATACTAAAAACATCAAATAAAAATGAGACTGTAAGTCATAGTTTTTTGAGAGTCCTAATTCTTTATAACAAAAAATAACCCTCAAATAAGTTATTTTCCTTGTACCCTGTAAGAGTCTCCCTGTATACATAGATAGGTAGATAGATGTATGTTTATATCTAGATTATATCTTTTTTTGGGGGGGGGCAAGAAATTGCCAATTCGCTCTTTGCCAGACATAAACACATTTAGCTTTAAAAGTTTTATCTTTCTATATGTGGGTAGGAAGATTTATACACATACACACACACACACACACACACACACACACACACACACACACACGTACAAGAAAGCCCTCAAACAAAATATAAAGGGCTCCCTGTCTTCTCTCATTTATAACGCAAGTGAAGTTTTTGATGAAACTTGTAGTTTTTGATGTGATCCTTTTAAAACATTTTAAAATTTAAATTGGACTGTTCTTGCCGGGGATCTTCAGACCATTTGAATACATACAGAAACCTTCGTTTAAAAAATTTAAGTTTTCGAGAGGTTTTTTTTTTTCTAGGAAAATAATATTTTGACCAGCATCTCTGTCAGTCTTGCATTTGCATAGTGTTGGTGTCGGGAGAGCTAAATTTGGATGTCCATGGTGGCTTTAGTCAGTTGTTTGCTCATATCACGCAATTACTTTTTTTTCTGCGTATCAGAAATTCTGCCGATAAGTGCTTATTTTTCTGATTAACCCAAAAGGCAATTTAATTTGCTATCTCTAATAAGCTAATATTTAGCCCACACAATTCAGCCCAAGTTCTGTTCACAGTGTCTAACAATCAGCTGCTTTCATTTATTTTTATTTTTCTTTATTTTTCTGGTCGAATAAACTTGCTGCATTCTGTCCTCCGGGTTGCTTCATTTCAAGTGAGACAGCCTCGGTTCATCGACCTGCCCTTACTTGCCCTTGTTCATAGAATTTTCTTCTCATTTAATAAAAGACTGAGATGAGTTGTATCTGCACATGTCTAAAGTTTCTAGCTTAATTCTGGTTTAATTAATTTATTTTACTATTAATATTGTACTTAAATCACTTCGCAATTTTGAGAATAATACTCTCTGTGCTGAATAAGTAAGGTATTATTTGAAGACCTTTTATGGTAAAGAAAGGCCTGCCTTTGTTCCATTCCAAAAGACCAAGGTGAGATTACAGTAACTGACTTCTGTTGCTCTAGGTGCCCAAGACATGAGCTGGTCCACCTGCCTCAAAGCCAGTCAATGCAGGAAAAGGTCTCTTCCCTCTCCTGCTGATGGCATCAGCAACACAGATTAAACATTCCTTAGGCACATCTAAGATGCTGAATTTAGCAAATTCCTTTTGCTGATCTAATTATGTAAATAGATGTATATTACTAATTATTTAAGCTACCCCAATATCCCTCCTGAATCTAGGAATCAAATTTTCGACATGGGAGGGTCTTGGGAGGCCACTGAAGATGGCAGCCTCATGAAGCCCACGGTGATCAGTTTTTATTCACGTAACGAGCCTTAGTTTTCCACAGCAAGAAGATACCTTCTCTTTTAAAAATCATACTTGAGTTCATCATATTTCAGTTCAGTTTAATCTCAATTCTCTATGTTGTGTCTTTAGTGGAGGATAGGCACCATTCTTTATATAAAATTAGAGTCAGGAGGTAATTTTATACATTCTTTGTTACCGGCGATGGCTATAAAATAATTCTAGATGGATAAATGTCTGTTCAGCTTTTTAAAGTCATCAGTGAGGCAAACATTTGAGCTTTCTGTGAAACCCTCTTAGAAGATTTCACATTAACCTTTCATAGTCATAAATCTGTTAAAATAGGAGCCCACAGCTGTGTCTCAGGTGGGATAAGTAAGTCCATTTATTTCTGTCTTTCATCTTAGATTCTCTTCTCCAACCTATTTTTGATCATATTTGCTGAGATCTCTTCATGAACCCATAACAGTGGTTAATTTTAGATAACATGATAACATGAGTGCAAAAGATTGTCCTCCCGAAGTTATTAAATGATTGAGCTTTCATATGACTCTTGCAAGGCAATATATTGTAACAGAAAAGTTAGTAAAATATAAATGG